CGTGACAGACGGATCCTGAAATGGTGACTAAATATGAAAAAGAGGAACTACATGGCCAGAACAGAGCACGGGGTGAACTGATAAGAAGCCACAATCAAAAATACTTTAACAGAACGCCCAGTGTCGTTAAAACAGAGCCCCGCCAGGCCGCGGTCTCTGCAAGGGGGCAGGTGAATGAGGTGAAGAGAGCAGAACAGTCACCTGGAGAGGGAGAAATTAAACCCACCTCAACCTCAAACCCACCTGCTTCAAAACAAGCTCCCAAAATTCTGCCATCTGTGACACTGTGGATGAACCTGGAGGACATTATGCTAAGTGAAATAAGTAAGAGAAAGACAAATACTGCATGATCTCACTTATAAGTGGAATCTACAAAACCTGAACTCATAGTGCCGAAACCGGTTTGGCTCAGTGGATAGAGCATCGGCCTGCAGACTGAAAGGTCCCAGGTTCGATTCCGGTCAAGGGCATGTACCTGGGTTGCGGGCACATCCCCAGTAAGAGATGTGCAGGAGGCAGCTGATCAATGTTTCTAACTCTCTATCTCTCTCCCTTCCTCTCTGTAAAAAAAATCAATAAAAAATATATATATAAAAAACCTGAACTCATAGAGACAAAGAGTAGAATGGTAATTACCAGGGGGTGGGGGAAATGGGAAGATGTAAGTCAAATGATACAAACTTCCCCTTCTAAGATGATGAAGTCCTGAGGATTTAGTAAACAGCATAGTAATTTTATCATTTTAAAATTTTTTATTAAATCTTTTTTAATATATTTTTTATTTCAGAGAGAGGGGGAGGGAGAGAGAGGTAAAAACATCAATAATGGAAAGAGCGGCATTGATTGGCTGCCTCCTACACACCCCCTACTGGGGATGGAGCTCGCAACCCAGGCATGTGCCCTTGACTGGAATCGAACCCAGACCCTTCAGTCCATAGGCCAACGCTCTATCCACTGAGCCAGACCAGCTAGGGCGGCAGCATAGTCATTTTAGTTAACAGCATGATATGATGTATTTGAAAGTTGCTAAGAGATATGAACTGTTCCTACCAACAAAACAAAAAACAATGGTAATTATGTGAGGTGATGGCAGTGTCAACTAGCATTGTAGTGGCAATCAATCATATCGAAATATATAAATGTATCAGATCAACGCATTGTGCACCTTAAACTTACACAATGCAATATGTTAATTATATCCCAATCAATAAAAGTAAAAAGGAATGAGGTGCTGCCCTGACAGGTGTGCTCCATGGTTAGAGCATTGGCCCAAACACTGGACTTGATTCTCAGGTTTGATTCCTGGTCAAGGGCACGTACCTGGGTTGCAAGACCCAGTGGGTGTGTCTCTCACATTGGCCTCTCTTTTCTCTCTCCCCCCCCCTTCCACTCTCTCTAAAAATCAATGGAAAAAATATCCTCAAGTGAGGATTAACAAAACAAAAAAAAAAAAGGAATGGGGTGCTGATGCATGCTGCAACACAGGTGAAAACATTATGCCAAGATGCAAAACACCACCTGTTAAGTGGTTCCATTTCTATGAAATTTCCGAGAAAGTCAACCCTGTAGAGACACAGAGTAGATTGCCTGGGGCTGGTGGTGGAAATGGGGTAAAGTGTAAAGGGGAATTTGAAATCTTAGTAGAGCTGTGGAAGGTTCTAAAACTGGATTGTGGCAATGATTGCATAAATTGGGAAACAGTAAAAGTCATTGAATTATGCACGCACAAAACTCTTTCCAGGAAGTTTTTTCTGAGTGCCTCCTCAGACTCTACTGCTGGTGTGACTGTCATTCTATGTCAGGAATCAGCAGGTTTTCTCTAAAAGGCCAAATGCTAAATGACTGGAACTGGAGAGCATTATGCTAAGTGAAAATAAGCCAGTCAGATCTCACTCATTTGTGGAATATAGAGAACAACATAGACTGATGAACAGGGACAGATCCAGAGACGGAGAAACAGTGATCAGACTGTCAATTCCAGGAGGGAAAGTAGGGGAGGGTGGGGGTAAGGGGAAGAGATCAACCAAAGGACTTGTATGCATATATATAAGTCAAACCAATGGACACAGACACCAGGGGGATGAGATCATGAGGGGGGGAGGTTGGGGGTAAATGTGGGGATGAGGACACATTTGTAATACCTTAACCAATAAAGAAATTAAAGATTAAAAAATACTAAATGACAAGACACTGGGTCTCCACTGCAACTACACAATTTTGCTCTAGTTGCAGAAAATCCCAACTCCTGGGGGATATCATCGGGTGAGAATTAAGAACTCAATAATCCAACCTTGTGGTCTGTGCTCCTAAAAGCTGAAGCCAAAACAGCTTGAGAGCAAAGAAATGTTAAGGAGTGTGCCTGGAAATGGTTCTTTAACAAAAATAGTCATTGTTGTGTTTAAGGTCTCCATTTGTGGCTCTGGCAGATGGAGATAGATTAGATATAGATTAGATAGATGGGTGGATGGGTGGATGGTTGATGAAGGAATAAAGGATCATGGATAGATGGTGGATAATAAATGGATGGATGGAAGGATGAATAGACGGATGATGGATGGATGGATGGATGGATGGATGGACAATAGATGAATGAATAGATGGATGGTGGATGGATAGATAGACAGGTGGATGATGGATAGATGGATAGACAGACAGATGGGTAGATAGATAGTAGTTAGATGAGCAGATGGATAGATGGATAGATGATGGAAGGAAGGAAGAAAGGAAGGAAGGAAAATAGATGGATGGTTGGATAGATAATAGATGGATGATAAATGGGTGGATGGAAGGATGATGGACATATGGATGATGAATAGATGAATAGACAGATGGGTAGATAGATAGTAGATAGATAGATGGATGGATGGATGGATGGATGGATGGATGGATGGATGGATTGGTTGGTATGGATATTTTTCCCTAGTGTCAGAGACAGGAAAACCTATCTAACTACTTTTGACCTGTCTGCCTCTGAGTAGAGCATTCAATTATCTTCTAAATTCTGGAAAAAACCCCTTCTTTTCAGCCACAGACACCTCCAATTACAACCTCTACACCATGTTACCCTACGTTGATTGTGGACACACACACACACACACACACACACATACACAGGCTTTTTCTTTCCTTGCTTATGGTACCAGACTTCAGTAAGTAACTCAAATAAACATGTGGGGGACTCCATCCTTACTTCTTCCCTTTCCTATAGGCCCAGAATCAACCACTCATTACATCTCTGTTATTTCTAGCCCTGGCTCTGTAGCTCAGTTGGTTGGAGTGTTGGTCCTGATATGTCAAGGTTGTAGGTTCAATTTCCAGTCAGGGCACACACAAGAATCAACCAATGAATGCATATATAAGTGGAACAACAAATCAATGTTTCTCTCTCTCAAAATAAAATTGATGAATAAAAAATTTTCTAAAGAATTCAGTTTCATCTCAATCATAAATTTCTGTTGTTGGATTATACCAATGGAAGCTATTTATGTTGATATGTTTTAAATTTTACTATTTTCATTGATTTTAAAAAGAGAGGAAGAGAGAGATAGCAACATCGATGAAACTTGCACACCTCCTACTGCATTGAGCCCACAACCCAGGCATGTGCCCTAACTGGGAATCAAACCTCAACCTCCTGGTTCATGGGTCGAAGCTCAACCACCGAGCCATGCTGGTTGGGCTTGATTTTTTTTAAATGAGAGTCAGGTTAGAGTGTGAGCTTCAGGATGATTTTGAGGGCTGGTGAACAAGCCTGGAGACTCCTGATCAGGGATGCCCTGATACTCCCACAGGCCAGGTCTGATGTGGGCACTGCCAATCCTACCACAGACCACACATGCCACAGCCTCATTGCTGCTCCGTCATCAGCAGGAGCTTTGCACCCTCGCAATTAGTCACTAGCAGCTCTAGCCCAGCATCCCACCTGCAACCAACAGGGGCAAAGGGAACTCCACCTCAATGCCACTATACTTCCTTGAGCCATGGATCTCATGGAACGGAGGCTGGGGAGAGAATGGCCTGGCATTTACTGCTCCCCTGGGGGGAAAATGTCATTCTTACACTCCAGTAAGAATTATTTTATTAATCCTCACTGGAGGATATTTTTCCATTGATTTTTAGACAAAGTGGAAGTAAGGGAGGAGGGGGGAGGGAGAGAGAGAGACGTAGAGGGAGAGAGACAGCGCCCTAGCCAGTTTGGCTCAGTAGATAGTACATCAGCATGCAAACCAAAGGGTCCGGGTTGATTCTGGTCAAGGGCAAGTACCTCGGTTGCAGGCTCCCGGCCTGGTCGGGGGCATGAGGGAGGCAACCAATCCCTTTGTGTCTCTTTCACATCAGTGTTTCTCTCGTCTCTGTCTCTCCCTTCCAATCTCTCTAAAAATCAATGGGGGAAAACATGCCTTTGGGTGAGTATTTAAAAGAAGAAATTATTTCTTTCCTGTTCATTATCCTGATTGTCTTACCCCATCCACTACTTAAAAAGATTAAAGTGGGGCCCTAACTGGTTTGGCTCAGTGGATAGAGTGTCGGCCTGCAGACTGAAGGGTCCCAGGTTCGATTCCGGTCAAAGGCATGTACCTTGGTTGTTGGAACATCCCTAGTGGGAGGTGTGCAGGAGTCAGCTGATCGGTGTTTCTCTCTAATCGATGTTTCTAACTCTCTATCCCTCTCCCTTCCTCTCTGTAAAAAATCAATAAAATATTTTTTAAAACGGGAAAAAGAAAAAAAATTAAAGTGGGGCCCAGAATATACAAATCAGATTAGATTGACAGCAGGACTTCTTGTTTCTTTTTCTTTATTTTGGTTTGTTTTCGTGGTTTTTGGGGTGTTTTTGAGCTATAGTGGCAACATTTATTAGCGAGCCCTTGACAAGACAGCCACAGTGGGCGAGGCACTACCGGGGCGAGTCCAGCAGTAGGAGACGGTGGACCTTGGGGATCTGCCCCCCAGAAACACGACACCTACATCTCCTTCTGCGCTGACAGCAATTTGAGGTTTAGATGGTTAATGACTTCGTGCTGTCAGCTGTGGCTGCAGGCCTCCCAGAGGAACTGGGAAAAGGGATGTGGACCCGCCTTCGCTTTCCCTTTGGGGGCGGGGCCACGCCCACACTCCCTGGAGGGCGGGGTCACATTCGCACAAGTCTGCCAAGCATTCCTGAGGCCAGCAGCCAGCCAGGACCCAGGATCATGTCCCTGGTTCTTCCCACCCTGCTCTACCTCGGTGAGTCTGGACAGAAGGGCGGGCAGGAGGGTGGTTCTGTAAGGCTGGGCTGTGCTCACCTGTGTTTCCTTCCAGGGTTGTATCTAACCCAGAGCAGTTGGGTTCAGGAAGGTGAGTATTCCCTTTAATATTCCCAAGGACTAGGTAGGGTTTGGCCTGATTTCCGCTCTTGGGGCTGGGAGAGGGGTCCTGACCCTTAAAATCGTGCTGTAGAGGGAGGAAGTAGAGGGTGGCAGGAGACACAGCCACCCCTGTAAATTTTTACCTCTTCCTCTAGGAAGTCTCCCACCACCTGTTATCACAGCTCAGCCTGGATCCATGGTTCTATATAATGAACCAGTGACCATCCTGTGCCAAGGGCCTCCAGACGCTGAAACCTACGAGATATATAAAGTGGAAGAACCTGGGTCTAGGGACAGAAGGAAATTACTGGTGGCTGAGATGACCGATACTTTATATATACAAGAGATGAAACCAGACCAGACAGGACTATACCGCTGTTCCTACGAGAGTGGAGAGCACTGGTCCCTGCTCAGTGACCCCCTGCATGTGGTGATGACAGGTGAGTGGGACCGGGGCAGCAGGACCAGGAGGGACCTCTTTGCAGATACAGAGATACAGAGCAGGAAGCAGCAAAGCCTCTACCTCTGGGAAGGAATCAGGGATGATGCAGAGACACATTCCCTCAGAGCGGGACATGGAGGGGATAGAAGCCAGAGCCACATCTGCTCCCGGGGAACAGGAAAGCACAGCACATGGACCTGGCTTCCCCTTTATAAGCAAACTTCCTTCTTTCTCAGGAACTTTTGACAAACCCTCACTCTCCAGCATGAGTGGCACGGTGGTAGCTTCAGGAGACAATGTGAAGTTACAGTGTTTCTCCAGAATCAGATTTCAAGCATTTATTCTCACCAAAGAAGATGCACCTCAGTTCACCCAGAGACAAAGCTCCACAACCCAAGACAATGGACAACAGACCACCTTTCACATGGACCATGTCATGTCCACACAGGCAGGGACCTACAGATGCTACGGTGCCTTCACCAAAGACCCCTATGTGTGGTCTCACCCCAGTGACCCATTGCAGCTTGTGGTCAGAGGTGAGGAAGGCCCTCCATCCCCACGTCCTCTTCTGGAGATGACACTGTCCACTTAGGGAGTGATGGAAGAAAGAGAAGAGTGTGGTGGGAAGCCCTTGGCAACACCATCTGCTTCCACAAAAGCCACAAGCACCCCACCTGCACACACCACGCAGGCCTCCTAGAAATAGCCAGGGAAATACTCTTTGAAGCATATGATTATGTAACCACTAGGTTGTACACCCTAAAATAATACCAAATGATAGTGAATGTAAACTGTAATTGGAAATTTAAAAAGTTTTTAAAAGCCTGAGCCGTTCTCACCCAATGTTTCCTTCCAAGGTTGTATCCAGCCCAGAGCACTTAGGCTCAGAATGCTGAGTATCCTTTTAATGTTCAAGGACTCAGTAGGGTTTGACCAGGCATCAGCTCCCTTGACAGCTGGGAAGAGGATCTTGGCATTTAAACTCCTGGCTACAAAAGGGGAGGAAGTGGATGGTGGCATGAGAAGTAGATACACCTGTAAATGTATTCCTTTATTCTAGGAAGTCTCTCCCCACCTGTTATCACAGCTCAGCCTGGATCCATGGTTTTATATAATGAACCAGTGACCATCCTGTGCCAAGGGCCTCCAGACGCTGAAGCGTACAAAATATATAAAGTGGAAGAACCTGAGCCTACGGATGGAAAGAAATTACTGGTGACTGGGAAGACTGACACTTCAGCTATCCAAGAGATGAAACCATACTGGACAGGACTGTACCGCTGTTCCTATAAGAGTGGAGGACACTGGTCCCCACTCAGTAACATCCTGCATCTAGTGATGACGGGTGAGTGGGATCCAGGCAGCAGGGAGGGACCTCTTTGCAGCAGGAAAAGCAGGAAAACCAGGCTCTGAAATACGGAGCAGGAAACAGCAAAGCCTCTACTCTGGGAAGGAATCAGGGATGATGCAGAGACACATTCCCTCAGAGCGGGACATGGAGGGGATAGAAGCCAGAGCCACATCTACTCCCTAAAATAAGAAGGGACAGTGCATGAATGTGGCTTCCCCTTTATTAGCAAACTTCTTTCTTTCCCAGGATCTTATGACAAACCCTCACTCTCCAGCATGAGTGGCACGGTGGTGGCTCCAGGAGACAATGTGGCGTTACAGTGTTTCTCCAGAATCAAGTTTGATGCATTTATCCTCACCAAAGAAGATGCACCTCAGTTCACCCAGAGACAAAGCTCCACAGCCCAGGACAATGGACAGCAGACCACCTTCCACATGGACCATGTCACCTCCACACAGGCAGGGACCTACAGATGCTACGGTGCCTTCACCAAAGACCCCTATGTGTGGTCTCACCCCAGCAAACCATTGCAGCTTGTGGTCAGAGGTAAGGACGCTGGTCCATCCCCACGTCCCATTCAGGAGATGACACTGTCCACTTAGAGCAGTGACTGGTGGGAAGCCCTGTCCAAACCATCAGCTTCCACAAAAGCTATGAGGACCTCACCACTCACCCACCATGCAGGCCTCTGACACATGCCCAGGGGCTGGGAGAGCATGTAGATCATTGTGACTCTGGGGAGACAGAGCCTGAGCACAGACAAAGAAACCACTCCCATTTCATCCCGATTTTCAGAAGCTGATGACAATCCTGATCCCACAGAACCCCACCGTCCTCATGGTGAGAAACTGGTAATCTTTTTTTTTTTTTTACTGTCAGGAGACCATATATTGGGTAACTTACAGAGGTAGAAGAAGTAAGTCCTAGAAGAAAGGGCTTAGGAATCAAATTATGGAGGTAAAACAAGGGCCCATGGAGCTTGGCAGTGAGGAAGCTAATGGTAAGGTGCCTGGTGGGGGAAGTGGGAAAGAGAAAAGGGAAATGGAGAAGCAAGACAATGACACAGGCATGGTATCTGGATGGAGAGTGCCAACTGGTAGCCTTTGCAGAAAAAGCAAGAAAGATGAAGGAAGATTAGGTGCAAAGAGAAATAGGGAGAAAGAAGCTTCGACTAAAGATACAAGGAATATCAGGGAGGCCATCCCCATCAGCTGAGTCAATGGTTTCCAGAGGGGCGTCCCAAAGGACCAGGCAAGGCTCCCATGGAGAACACTTAAAGCTCCCCACCCAGTTCCCACCCCTGCCTTTCATAACCCCAGAATTCCTTAATGCAATCACCACAGGGCTCATAATGACAACAGGAAAGAAGGCAGATATTGCTTATGCAGAAGGTGGCTGGGCAGCGACCTCCCAGATCCAGGAGACTGGACACATGAGCTCAGGTGGAGGACACCTTCCTGCGATGGGCTTGGGCTCCTCCTCTGTGACCTCTGCCCTTTCTCTCTCAGGACCTGCTGGTTGGAGTGTGTCCCGTGTGAACCAAGTCCGGCTGAGCCTGGCTAGCCTGGTTCTCTTGGTCCTGGTGGTCCTGGTGGCGGAGGCCTGCTACAGCCACAAGAGGTCCTTCTATAGACTCAGATCAGATCCTTACCTGAGCGTCATGACAAACACCGAGGATACTTATGGCATCTAAGGACAGTGTTGACCTGAGGGGCGGGTGACCGGAGGAAACCAGGCGCTGGCTGTGTTGTCTACCAGATGATGGGGTGTGTCCGTCCCTGCAGAAGCTGTCTCCTTGTCCCAACATCACAGTGAATTAATGCAGTACTAATAGGTCTCTTGTAGGTCAGAAGAGAAAATGCCTAAAATGTGCCCACTGGCCTGCATGGCTTTTTTTGTAACTTATCTTTTATTGTTGGAAATATTACAGATGTTCCTTTCTTTTCCCATGGACCCCCTCCAACCTGCACCCATGCCCCCACCCAGGACATCACTGAATTATAACCTGTGTCCATAGTTTTAGAATATGTGCAGATAAGTTCTTCCCGACCCCCAACTCCCTTTGTCTGAGACTCATGCTTCTATCTCTCTGGATCTATTTTGTTCATCAGTTTATTTTGTTCATTAGATTCTACCTATGAGTGAGATCAGTGGTACTTGTCTTTCTTTGACTGGCTTAGTTCACTCACCATGAAAAATTAAAAATGGAACTTCCATTTGACCCAGTGATCCCACTCCTAGGAATATATCCTAAGAAGCCCAAAATACCAACCAGACAAAATATATGCACCCTATGTTCATAACAGTGTTATTTACAATAGCTAATATCTGGAAACAGCCCAAGTGCCCATCAGCAGATGTGTCGATACAAAAGCTGTGGTACATTTACACTATGGAATACTATGCAGCTGTACAAAACAAGGATCTATGCTATTTTTCATGAAATTTATTGGGGTGCCATCCTATATAATAAAAGCATAATATGCTAAGTGTCCGACTGATTGGTCAACTGTTCGGTCGACCACTCAACTAATCACTATGATACACACTGACCAACAGAGGGGCAGACGCTGTGACAAGAAGTTAGCTTGCTGCTGGGGCCCAGCCAATAAGGACTGGGAGAGACAGTCTGAAAATGCCCTGGAGCCAACCTCACACAGTCCTTCCCCGGCCGGCCAGCCCCCATAAGCCCTGATCCAAGACTGGGCAAGATCACCCCAATGGGCCCTGATTGCCGGCCAGGCCAAGGATCCCACCAGTGCACAAATTCCTGCACTGGGCCTCTAGTTAGTTAATAAAATTATATAGGTTTCAAATGAACAATTTTATGATACATGATCTACATATTGCATTGTATACTTCTCAACCATGAGAACAGATTAAAAACTGCCATTTGTAACAACATGATTGGACCTTGAATATTATGATAAGCAAAATGAGTCAGTCAGAAGAAGCTAAGAACTGTATCATTTCACTCACAGGTGGGATATAAAACTGAAACTCACAGATGCAGACAAGAGTGTGGTAGTCATCAGAGGGAAGGAGTGGAGGGGTAGTAAAGAGTAAAGGGGACTACCCAGCTGGCATGGCTCAGTGGTTGAGCATTGACCAATGAACCAGGAGGTCATGGTTCAATTTCCAGTCAGGCTCCATCCCCAGTGTGGGTGTGCAGGAGGCAGCCAATCAATGATTCTCTATCACCATTGGTGTTTCTCTCTCTCAAAAATCAATTAAAAATATATTTCTTAATAAAGTGGTAAAGGGGACAAAGTAGATGGTGACCTAAGATGATTTGACTTTGGGTGGGTATGGAGGCTCCTCAAAAAATGAAGAATAGAGTTATTGCTTGGCTGCTGTGGCTCAGTTGGTTGAACGTCATCACCGGCACCAAGAGGTCACTGGTTCAATTCCAGAACAGGGCACATGCCTGGGTTGCAGGCTCCATCCACAGTAGGGAGCATGCAGGAAGTAGCTGCTTGATGTTTCTCTCTCGTTCTCTTCCTTTCTCTCTCAAATCAATAAAACACAGATGAGAGAGAAAGGTGGTATAAATGACTCAAAGGTAGTTGGATGATAGAGAAATATAATAAATTCTATACATACATGGATAGTTACAATAGATATATATATGATAGAACGGTAGGTAGATGAGAGAAAGAAAGCTGGTATGGAAGATAGATGATAGATAGATAGATAGATAGATGATAGATAGATAGAACAGAAAATAGATGATAGATAAAAATAATAGATTTTAGACAGATACATATTAGTAACAGATGGAAATATACATGATAGTAAGTTAGGTAGACAAAAAATAAAGAAAGAGACACAGAAATACAAATGCATATTTTGTCCCAGTGTCAAAGTAAAGAAAGTCTTATCTAACCATTTTGACCTGTCTGCTTCTTCCTCTCGGTTGGAATCTTCCATTATCTTCTTAAACCTGAGAAAAATCCAATTTCTCATCTGTGATTATCTCGTCTTACACCCTCTGCTCTATGCCCAGGCCATATACCCATGGCACAAACACAGGGTCTCATTTCCTCAGCTAATTGAATGGGTTGTGGTGATGCTGGGGTTAAGCTTAGGTGGATGTTGACTGAAACACCACAACAACAGGGAAACCCTAGAAGCAGTAGGAAATATTTCTGAACGTCAAGAACCAGGTAGGATTTATCATTGTTTACAGTGTCCTCAGGATGTGATGAACGAAGACATGGCCAAATAACTTGAAACATTAACCCAATCAACACAGTTCTTGTGAAGATTACATGCAACTTTCCCCACAGAATCTTGATAAAATGAAAAGCCAGTAAAGGTCAGCTGTTACATTACTTCAGATTTGTGGAGAAGAATGACTCATGTCAGTGCAGAGAGGGGAAGATTTTAAATCTAAGATATATGTTTATTGAGAAAAGTGAATGGCATAGCTACTCAGTAAGGTTCAGCCAGTGAGATGGTTGAAAAAGAAAGACGCATTGCCCAGCTGATGGGGCTTAGTAGTTGAGCACTGACCTATGAATCAGGAGGTCACAGTTCAAATCCCAGTCAGTGCACATGCCTGGGTTGTGTGCTCAATCCCCTGTGAGGGCATGCAGGAGGCAGCCAGACAATGATTCTCTTTCATCATTGATGTTTCTACCTCTCTCTCCCTCCCCTTTCCCCTCTCTGAAATCAATAAAAACATATTTTTAAAAAATGACCAAAAAAGTGTGAAGAGAATCCAGCACTCAAATAAACCTCTTTCCTTTTACCAGCAAAAATAAAAGAACCAAGGGGTGGCAAAACCCAGTGAAATTACCTAGCTTAGGTTCATCACTTTCATCCATGGACAGAGTCAGTGCTAACAATGCAGTGGGAACATGCACAGTCGGCAAAGAATTAATAATGATGTCATTGCCTCCCTAGGAGGGCCTGCTCTGGACCACATGCACACACTGTGAGTATAGCTCTGCAGAAAGACAGAATTATTCACTCATTTTGTACATGAACAGGAGAAAGCTCTGCATTTAGTAGCAGGAGCCATGAGCTCACAGTGTATTTCAGAGCCGATCTCAGACTGGGAACTATTTTTTCCTGTTCTTCATCTGTGATCCCACTTACTGCTCAATTCATACAGAAAGATTAAATGCCCATGAAGAATTAGGGACAGAAAATAGGGACCAGACTGGGCTGATAGAGGTTTGAAGTTCACATGACTAACATCATGATCAGCTGCCTCTTCAAGGCTTTAGCAGAAGACGTTGTGGAATGCCTTCACTCTGGGAGTGAGAATCAAGGCCCTCCCACCACTTCCTGTTGCTTGGTGTGACTTTCAGAGAAGTCTGTTCCGCATAAAGGCAGCATTGCTGAGGCCAACAGGCCAGAGAGGACCCAGAATCATGTCGGTGGGTCTTCCCACTCTGCTCTATCTCGGTGAGTCAGGACAGAGGGGTCAGGGTGCAAATACACGGCTACCAGGGCAGGTCAGAGGTTCCATAAGGCTGTGATGTTCTCCAATATGAATGAACAAACGAAACATAAACAGACTCAGAGACACAGAGAATAGACTGACGGTTGCCAGAGGAGAGTGTATGGAGACTGGGTATAAAGGGGAGGGATTGAGAAGTATAGATTGTGAGTTACAGAATACTCATGGAGGTTTAGAGTACAGCATAGAAAATATAGCCAATACTATTGTAACCAGTATGCATGGTGCCAGGAGGGTACTGGACATAGCAAGGGGAATCACTTCATAATGTATATGATTGTCTAACCCCTAGGCGGTACACCTGAAACTAACATAAAATAATATTGAATGTAAACTGTAATTGAAAATATTAAAAATTTTTAAGACGGAGTTGTTCTCACCCAATGTTTCCCTCCAGGATTGTATCTCACCCAGAGCACTCAGGCTGCGACCGGTGAGTATCCTTTTAATGTTTAAGGATTGAATAGAGTTTGGCCAGATATCAGCTCTCTTGGGGGCTGAGAAGAGGGAGGGGTCTTGGCTATAAAGATGAGGACGTGGAGGATGGCATGAGAAACAGATACAGCTGTAAATTTATTACCTGTTTTTCTAGCACAGCATCCCAAACCTGTTATCACAGCTCAGCCTGGATCCGAGGTTCAATATAATCAACCAGTGACCATCCGATGCCAAGGGCCTCCATACGCTGAAGCCTACAAGATATATAAAGAGATACAACCTGAGCATAGGAATGGAAGTGAATTCCTGGTGGCTGGTCGGACCAACACTTTATATATCCAAAAGATGAAACGAGACAATATAGGACTGTACCGCTGTTCCTATATGGGAGCCGGATTCTGGTCCCCCCTCAGCGACCCACTGGAACTGTCCATGATAATGGGTGAGTGAGACCCAGGCACCAGGGCCAGGAGAGACCTCTTTGCAGAGGGAGAACCAGGCTCTGAGATACGGAGCAGGAAGCCTGCCTCTAGGAAGGCATAGGGATGATGCAGAGACACATTCCCTCAGGGCGGGACACGGAGGGGATAGAAGCCCGAGGCACATCTGCTGCTGGGGACAGGAAGGGACATGGCCTCCCCTTTATCAGCAAACGTCCTTCTTTATCTGCATCTTATGACAAACCCTCACTCTCCAGCATGAGAGGCACAGTGGTGGCTTCAAGAGACAATGTGACATTACAGTGTTTCTCCAACACCACGTTTCATATATTTGTTCTCAACAAA